CTACACAGAAACCCAAAATGGGTAGGAGTGTCTTGCGGGAGGCCCAGACCTGTTTTCCTTGAGAGGCGCTGAGCGCAACCTGAGCCAAATCGCGTTGAAGTTTAGTTATTTTGAGAGCTTTCAAGAGGAGCTGACCCAATGAGACCCTCGTGGCTGCGTTAAGTTCGGAGTTGAACCGTGTCCTGAGACTCTTGACCCAAAATGGCTCTTCGGCAAATCTCCTAAAACTCCTTGGGAGAGCCTGAGTCGCTTCATAAACCTGGCCCAACATGTTTTCCCAGAAATCAAAGGAGAGGGTGAGGTCCCTTGGGTCATGATACCTGACCGCACATGAATCGGGCTGTTCTTCGTCATTTAAACGAATAAGTTCCGATGATTCGGGAAACAGACCTTGGGCGATCTTCCTAACCTCCAAAATGTTTGTAGGAGTCCACATGAGAGGTCTCCTCTTACGCATCTGCTGGTGAAAGGCCAGCACATCACAGCCAACAAGAGCATGGTCCCCTGGGACGCCCGCCCAGCGGGCGAAACAATCAAAAGTGAGATCACTCCTGGCGAGAGCTATGTGATCGATCGTGCTGTTGGCCTGAGAGAGCGCCTGATCACCATCAGGCTTCCTAGTGAATTGCATGGAGGTCTCTTGGAACCTGAGAGGACACCAACGGAGATTGAGGCATGAACAAGCTTCACTGAATGATCGGAATTTCGGATCTCCGTTACCTTGATCGGCATTCATGTCCCCCAACCAAGAAAGAGTAGACCCCACGGGGCGGGATCGACCGAGTTGGATGGCACAGTTGAGAGAATCATGGAAAAAATCGTGGGCAAGATGAGAGAAGAGAAAGGATCTGGCATGATGGTGGCAACCATCGAGACAGTCGGGACGAAGATCAACACGGATAGATCTCCAATCGCAGACAATGTCTTTCACACGTTTTCTCAGAGATTTGTGCACAAGCACGCCCATGGCCCTACACCCAGGGCCAGAGTGATGGCGGTAGTAAGCGTGGCCATTGAAAACAGGGCGTAGTAGCCCATCGTTTTGAAGACAGCCCTTAAAATCCGCCTCTAAGATACAAATTAAGCCCCAGCACTTCAGCTCGAGCAAATCTAGGTTGGCTTGCATTTGAGTCTCGTCGGCCCATTTACCCTGCACATTGAGTGCACATACGAGACCCCTCACGTGAGCATCTCAAAGAGATAGTGCTTCGTCGATTGTGTCTTTGAGCGTCTTACGGAGCGCTTCGTCGGGAATCTCCTTGAGTGACTCGTGCCACTGAAATTCCCCATCTTTGATAGCACCTATCTGACGGTCCAAGACGAAAAATTTTCGAGTCCGAGAGCAAACCACGTAACTGTCCGTGCGATCTCCCATTGCCCTTTCCAGGGCTTCTGATACGGTCTTGAACAATTTTGCTGGGCCACGCTCCTCCTTCGTACTAATCTGGCCACACCAGATCGTATGTTCCAAGTGCCCAGGGATCTTAAGATCACGAATCGCAGCTGCCGCTTGAAGTCCCACTGCAATCGAACTCCATTTAATCTCCACACAACTCCCATACCCAAATGGTGCAACAATATGCGTGGGCTGGGGAACATCCGCCCGGCGAAGGACAGCCCGTGCCTTCTCCAGGGCCTCCTGCTTCTTGAGATTCCAGCCCAGGTTGGTGAGAATGAAGATGTCCCTATCTGCCCTTGGGGTGCTAGCCCACGGCGGACCCTTTTTCCTCGACGGACCCTGGCTCGACTGACTTTCTAACTGTTTGGCTGCCATTTCCGCGCGCAGAGACTTCTGCTCCAGCTCAACGGCAAGAATCCTTTCGTTGAAGGCTTTCTGCACCTCGGTTTCACCCGCTTCAAGGTTGGCAAGCTTTACTTCATGGTCATTGATCAGAGTGACGGCCACTGAAAATTCCTGAGCCATCGCCTTTTGAGTTCCCAACACATCGAATTGTAACGAATCAATACGATCTTTGATAGGAGCGATCTTTTTGTCTAGGAGAGACTCGAGTTGGGCAAGAAACCCGTCGGCACCGGTGGCGGTCGAGGCAGCCCCCGATGGAATCGAACCATCTTCTCCCAAACCAGTACCCTTAGCAGCTCCCTTGGCCGCCAAGGTTCTCATAGCTTTCGAGGCTTCTTGCTGATTTTCTTTGTCGTCGTCTACCATCCGAGCTTCGTCCCTCAGTCTTTTCGGCTTATCGATGTCCAATGATAAGAGCTTTTGCATGGTTTCTCCAATCTGCAATGCCGGCATGGCCAAAAGGATGAAGCAAGAGCCAGTTTCCCAAAATTTGAGATAGAAATGAAGCGCTGAATTGACAAAACCCAGTAAGATTCACGAATTCACCAAATTGAGGCGATATCCCACTGATTGAACCCAATAACCGATCCCCAAAGGCTCAAGGAACAGTTGCGGTACCGGAATGGCTTGTGGTAATGAATGATCCAGACCTTGAGCCAGACCTTGAGCCAAACCTTGAGCCAAACCTTGAGCCAAAATGGCTTGAGCCAAAATGGCTACGGAGGAGGAGAAGGAAGAGGAGGAAGAAAAGGGGAGGAGGAGGAGGAGGAGGAAGAAAAGGAGGAGGAGGAGGAGGAGGAGGAGGAGGAGGAGGAGGAGGAAGAAAAGGGGAGGAGAAGGGGGAGGAGAAGGGGAGAAAGGAGAGGCAGGAGGGAGGAAAAGGGAGGGGGGGAGGCGAAGGTTGAGCAGGACGAGGGGGAAAGACAGGGGACGAGAACGAGGATACAGAGGACGAGGAGGATGGCAAGGAAGAGAATGAGGAGGACGAGGAAGACATATGAGAAGGAAGAACGAGGAGAGAAAGGTGCTGGTGAAGTGTGTCGTTTCATGCGATTCGCCTTTCAGACGAATGAGTCGGGAAGCAGCAACCAGCGCTGTGTACGAGTATGAGCTGATACCTTGGGCTGCAACTCGCTAGAGATGACGCGTGGAAATGCACTTGCTTGGGCCGCACGCAACTGGCATCCCGTACTGCACATCTCAATTACGAGGCTGCGAGAACGGCTGGGGAAAGAGCGGTGCTGGGGGTGGAGGAGGGAGCGGTGGGGTTGTCCCCTCGTCGTCCCTCCCTCGTCCTCCCTCCCTCCAAGGCAGCAGCAGGTAGCAACAAAGCGCGAGAGATGCTAGCAGAAGCTTATAGGCTGATGCGTCGTCCTCCTCCCCGCGCCCCCTGAGGAGGTAGGTGGAGGAGGCGTAGGTTTCCGAGGTGTTGAGCGGCGGGATCATGCTTAGGCATCCCTGCCGACGGTCCACTGGAGCGAGAGGCTTGTAGGTCCCTCACTCCAGAGGGCTAGGCTGCGGTACAGAAAAGTTAGCCCCTCGTCCGCTTTCGAGTTCACGCAGGGGGCAATTCATAAGGCAGCGCATCGCCCTTAGATGAGCAAGCCATGGCACTGAAGCACACTGCCCCCCCAGCGTTCCATCCATCCATCCATCCATCCATCCATCCATCCATCCATCCCCCCCCCTTCGCCCCTGACCTGGGGGCACCCAGAGTGGTGGGCACACCCGTCACACAGGGGGACGACCCCTGGGTGTTGGGGTCAAGCAAGGCCCTGGGCTCCCCCTCGTCCTCCGTCCCGCCCTCCCTTCCTCCCACCCTCCCTCCCTCCCACATCCATCCCACCTTCCTCGCCCCTCTTCATCCCTGCCTCCCTCCCGCCCTCCCGCTCCCCCTAGTTCCCTCCCTCTGCTCTCCCCTCCGTCCTCCCTTCCCTGACAACAGCCGACACGATCTGCGTCAATCCGCGGCACCCGGGCGAGACCCCGACCGCTCCCCCAGGGGTAGTTGGTTTGCGCCCCGGATCCATATGTGATGGCCGCGGGGCCCGCCCCAGGGGCCGAAATCAAGGAAAAACGCAGCGAGAGATTTCTTGAAATCCAAAAAAAATTCCTCGGATACTGGTTTTGTGTTGGATAAGAAACGCCGCGAGTGATTTTCTGAATTCCGAAGTCCTCGGAGATCCCAGTGCATTCCTCCCTGGCCTGGCGCACACGGGTCCGCTGGGAGAGGCGCAAGAGCAATGGCAAGAGTTGGCGCCTGGACGCAATCATCTGCGCGCTGGGTGCAATAGCGGCGCACGGATGCGCTTGTGTGCAGAGGCCTCCTAGATGGGGTCCGAGTAGATAGGGTCGGAGGGAGGGAGGGAGGGAGGGAGGAGGAGTAAGACATGAAGCCCCGCCACGGCCCTCCCTCCTGCCCAGCCAGCATCAGCGGCGAGCAAGGGGGGAAGTGAGGAGGAGAAGGCCTCCTCAGAAGGCAGCGGGAGTTCCCAGAAGGCCTCCGGCCTTCTGAAAGGTTTGTTGTGTCTTCGGGGAAGCCTTAGAAGACTTCTAAGAAGGCTGGGGGTCGGGGGGCTTCGGAGCCTTCTGAGAAGGCCCACCCCTTCTCGCTTCCCCCTGGGCTCGTCGCCGATTAGAACTCCACCCCCCGCCCCGGACCCTCCTCGCCGCCCCTCTTGCCCCAGCAGGGGCGCGACCCCGCCTCGGCTCAATTTGAGAAAAGCTGCGCTGCATGTGATGAGCGGGCTTACCAAGCCCGGCTCAGCCAGAATGCAGCCCTGCGGGATCCTGCAGGATCCACACAAGCCCCCAAAGTGGGGTCATAGTACAGTCGGCCTTGATTGGACAGGACAGGCCAGGGTCGACCGTAGATGGGGTCGGAAGATCGCCCCGCATCGCCGATGCATCAACGATGCATCGACGACACACCGGCGACGTCGGCGACGCGTCGGCGACGTCGACGTGGCGCAGAGCGAGCTCCACATCGAGCCGCAGCGCCGATGCATCGGCGACGCGGCACGCTCCTCCGATCCCATCGACCTGGGCCCCACCCGGGAGGCCTGGGGCCCATGGACTTGCAAGATCCTGGCTCCTCCTCCTCCTCCTCCTCCTCCTCCGCCGCCGAGCCCCGCTGCGCGCGCGCCGCACACTCGCCTCGCCTCGCCCTCCCCGTGCCCCTGGCAGCGCGAGCGGCCTTGACCTGCGCGTCCACGTCTCCCGCCTCGCGGGGTGGGCACTCGTGCGCAACGTCCAGCGGGGCGCCGCCGCCCCCGCCCTCCCGCAGGGAAGCTGCCGAGGAGGATGGAGGGAGGAGGAGGAGGAGGAGGAGGAGGAGGAGGAGGAGGAAAAGGAGGAGGAGGAGCAGGAGGAGGAGAAGGAGGAGGAGGAAGAGGAGGAGGAGGAGGAGGAGGAGGGAGGAGGGAGTGAGTAAGCGAGACCAGTCGCAGAGCGAATCCGAACGAGCTGAGCACACCGACGAGCGGGCTCGGCCCGACCCAGGACCTTTGGGGCGGGCGGTGGGGTAACAGGGGACCAGCGAGGGAAGCAAGGGGTTGGGGGCCCGGGGTGGCGGAAGAGGCTGGGGATAGGGGTGCGGTGCATGATGGGGTTAGGAGAGAAATCGGATTGGGGTGCGGTGATGATGAGGATATTAGGAAAGCCGAGGGGTGCATCAACTTAGCCAGGTCGAAAGATCTTTGCTTGAGCTCAGCGCTCCAGGCCTCCAGATCCCCCAGCGGGGAGAGCCACCAGGCGGAGCGAGTCGGCGGACCCCTTCGACTCCGACTCCACGCAACGTCGCCCGCTGCCGCGCGAGCCCCGCGCGGGGGTGCAGCTCGCCCGCCCGCTCGCGCGGCCCCGCCGCCGCCGCCGCTGCCGCTCGGGGGGCGAGAAGCAGGCGCCGTGCCCAAGTGGGGACGCCAACTCCGTAGGAGATGTGCGCACGGCATGTGGCACAGGGCGACACGTCGTCGGCTCGCGCGCGACCCGCCACCGACGCCCTGGCGAGGGAGAAGTGTGCGCCGCGTCGGAGCGGAAGCGCCACTCTCAGGCGAAGCCTGCGCGGCGCCAAGGCGAAAGCGACACGTCACCCGCTCTCGCGCGATCCGATGTCGACGAACTGGCGAGCGAAACATGCGAGCCGCGCCCCAGAGGGAGCCTCACTCTCAGGATGACCAAGCGCGGCGCCGAGGTGAGAGCGACATGTCGCCCTTTCGCAAGGGATGTGCACCCGATAGAACACCTGCCACGCGTTTCGCAACGTCGATAAATGAACGTCCGTGTTGAGAGGGAAAACGTTGGCTCCGTGATTGTCCTCGACAAATAGAATGGGACCACCCAGGTTGGGCCCCTTATCGGCGAACTATACTCCTGAAGGAAACTTGACGAAAAAGGCCATGGGTTCTAGGGAACGCTTCGGGGTCGCCCCGGAGTCTTCATGGCACTGCATGGCCACAAGGTCACCGTCTTGCAACGACGCTCCCCCCCCTCCCCCGCCAAATGTTGCATCGAAGCTCCCAGCGCGGCAGCGGCCCCGTCAAGAGCCAACTTTGGACGCGGGCGGGGCAGGGATGCTGAATCGATGCGTCCACTTTTCTTCACGACGGTTGTAGGAGGCAGAGTGGGAGTATATATGATATAGGAACAAGGAGTAAGATTGGGGAGCCTGTGAAAACTCCCATGTTCTGTGAGGTTCTGGGAATCCATGGGGGGGGGGATTCTGGAGACTGGAGACTGGAGACTGCGCTCGCCGTCTCGGAGGGGCGGCCCCATGCTGGGGCTGGAAAGGGCGAACGGGGACGAGGGACGAGGATCGGTTCGGATCGACTCGGCGGGGAGGAAGCGCCATGCTGCGCAGCGCCGTTTTAGGGGCGATGGGGGGAGAAGGGAGGAGGTGATAGAGAAAAGGGGGTGCACAGCCCAGAGCCACGGCCCAGATCCACGGCCCAGATCCGAGGAACGGCCCGAAAACCAAGAGTCCCTGCTGAGCCCGAAGCGGTCATCATCTGAGCGTCTTGACTGCAGAAGGGGTTCTGCGGGTTTCCTGGGAGCCTCGAGGAGAGGCGAGGGAGAAGGGAGGAGGGTGGACGGGAGGAGGAGGGAAAGGTGGCAGACAGTGCAAGAGGAGGAGGATCGTGGGCGAAAAACAGATCCGCATCCGCGGCCTCGCAGGCCGGGCCCCTGGGCCCCGACCCCGCGGACACGGAGCGCTTCTGCTCGCAAATCCCCCGCGCGGAACATATCCGTGCGACCGCACATCCGCGGCATCGCGCCGCGGAACCCAGACCGCGAGGGGCGCGGATGCGGAGATGTTCGCCGCTCGCGAGTGGACGAGGAGGAGGAAGAGGGGGCGGAGGAGGACGAGGGGGAGGAGGAGGACGACGACGAGGAGGAGGAAGAGGAGGCGGAGGAGGCGGAGGAGGCGGAGAAGGAGGAGGGGGAGCGGGAGGAGGAGGAGGAGGGAGGGAGGAGGAGGAGGAGGAGGAGGAGAGGAAAAAGGAAAAGGAGGAGGAGGAGGCGGAGGAGGAGGAGGGACGAGCGATGGCAAGCAGCAGCCCCCCAGCCCACCGGCACGGCGGCCGCCGCGGGCGCCGCCGCCGGCTTCGCCGTGGCCTCGAGCAGGTCGCCGCCGCCAAGCGGGGAAGCGCGGCCGCCGCCGCCGCCGCGCCGCCGCCGCCGCCGCCGACGACGACGACGACGCCGACGACGACGACGACGACGACGACGACGACGACGACGGCGGCGGCGGCGACGACGACGACGACGACGACGACGCCGACGCCGACGCCGACGACGACGACGACGACGGCGGCGGCGGCGACGACGACGACGACGACGCCGACGCCGACGCCGACGCCGACGCCGACGCCGACGCCGACGCCGACGCCGACGACGACGACGACGACGCCGACGACGACACCGACACCCACGACGACGACGACGACGACGCCGACGACGGCGCCGACGACACCGGCGGCGGGCACCAGGACGAGGACGAGGACCACGAGGACGACGGCGGCGAGGCCGATAGAGGCGAGAGGCACGACGAGGGGGACGACGAGGAGGACGACGAGGAGGGGAGGAAAGGGAGGGGGCGAGGAGGAAGGACGACGAGGGGGGAGGAGGAGGAGGAGGAGGAGGAGGAGGAGGAGGAGGAGGAGGAGGAGGAGGAGGAGGAGGAGGAGAAGGAAGGACGAGGAAGGGAAGGGGCACGACAAGGAGGACGACGGGAAGGACGACGAGAAGGGGGAGGGGGCGAAGGGGAGATGGGAGGAGGCGCGAAGGGGAAAGGGAAGGGGAGAGACTGCATCAGGACATGCGCGGGCAGGCACAGCTGCCTTTACCTGACGACCCTGCTGACCCCAACTGTGTTCCAAGGAATGTCAGCACAACGGCGCTGCATCTTTCAACTGGACCAGCAGGGGCACAGTGGAGGCCCGTGCCAAGAAGCACCCTGCTTGCCTCCAGGGTGCCCTGGGTTTGTTGGGTTTCGATGGCTTTGCTGTGGGAAGCGTGAGGTTCCCACGCCAAAAACCGATGGACGGCCTGGGGTCTCAGCGTAGGGCTTCCTGTGGAAGGCTTTTTGCGTTTCTGCGGTCGGGCCTCCACTGTAGAAGAGCTGGGCCACCCACAGAGGAGGGGGAGGAGGGGGAGGGGGAAGGGGGGGGGAGGGGGGAGGGGGGAGGGGGAAAGGAGGAGGAGCGGAGGAGGAGGAGGAGGAGGAGGAGGAGGAGGAGGAGGAGGAGGAGGAGGCGGAGGAGGAGGAGGAGGAGGTTGGGTTTCTTGTCCAAGGCTTCTTGTGGACTGGCCTCCTCTGTAGGGGTCGATCTGCCTCCTCGCTCCTCCCTCCTCGCGGATCCGAGGACGCCTCCCGCCCCGCCCCTTCGGCGCGGGGCCCGCCCGAGCTCCGGGCCAGCCTGCCGGCCTCCACCTGGCCTCTCCGCGCGCGCTGCCCCGCCGGCGCGGCGCGAGTTTTCCCCCCGTCGCCACCGGGGGTAAATTGGGCCTGTCCCCTACAAGGGGATTTTCGACGACAGTAGAAAATACACCAGAAATAACCAAAGAACAATCCACAAATAGTCTGGGGACTATTTTGGGGGCGAAAACGTCGCACGTGCCGCGGCCGCTGACGAACAGCAGCAGCACGACAAAGAAGTAAATCAGCACCTTCCGGGGGTGGCACCCTCCTCCGCCGCCTCTTCCTCCTCCACCTCCGCAGATTTCTCTGCGCCCTCCTCGCCCTCCTCGTCCTCCTCCCTGCTCTCGCCCTCTACCTCCTCCGTTTCCCCATCCCGGGCATCTGCGCGCTGCCCTCTGCCCTCGCCCTCTCTCCTGGCGGGGTCCGCCTCCTCCTGCTCAGCCTCTCCCTCTGCCTCTCCCCCTGCCTCCTCGCCCCTCGTCGCGAGCCCGCTCCTCCTCTTCCTCCTCCTCTGCCTCCTCGGCTCCCTCGCCCTGCTGGCGCTGCTGCAGCTCCGCCTCTTCTTCGAGGAAGTCGTCCGCCTCCCTGCCCCCATGCGGGGCCGTCCGCGCCGCCCCCTCAGGCGCTCGCCACTGACGGGCTGAATACCTGGCGTCACAGGTGCGTTCCGCCACCTCTTCCATCCAGCGCAGGACCAATCGATCCTCGTCCCGGCTGCGCCCCGCTGGCCACCAGCGAGGTCGGTGTCTGCACCCCCACATGATGTGGTCCTGGTCTGGCAAGTCTGTGACGCAGCCAGGCTACACGCAGTGGCATGCTTCGTCAAATCAAACATCCCTCCTCCCGCTGCTTTCGCCGCCAGCGGCGACAGGAAGGACCCGCACATCACGTGCACCCTCGTCCCCGCTCCGTCTCTCGCTGCCTCTCTGGCTAGCTTCACGCGGGCCTCATCGTATTCGACGCCCTGCAGCGGGGCCACATCCCTCCTCCTCTGGCGCTTGAACTGCTGCCAGTTCCACCAGCGCCAGCCCTCGCGCACCTGGTGCATCTGCCTGGCGCGCACATCCTTCTCCACCTCGTCCCAAGCTGGACGCTCCTGCAGGTCCAGCTCCATCCCCGTGCCCGGGCGGTAGCAATTCCAGGCGCTCGCCTCCTCCTGTCAGCCCATTTTCCGCAGCCAGCAGCGCACCTCCGCCACCAAGGTGCCTCGCTTGCGGTACCAACTCGTGTCCAGCGGGAATCGTCTCGCCTCCGCAGCCGTCGCCGCATCGTGGCCACCTGCCGGCACCCGATCACCACATCCGCCGTAAGGATGCCGCCCTCGGGGATGTTCATGATGCGCTTGGACCCCATGGGGCATCCGCCTGCGCTCCTCCTCATCGCTGCCGTCACCTGGTCGGCCTTGACCCAGGGCGGGGCCTTCGCCATCCAGCCATAGGTGCTCTTGGACAACCCAAAGGCCCTGCAGTATTCCTGCTTCTTTCGTCGCCCAACCGGCAAACATTGCAGGCGGCGGATCTCTCTCAGCGCGCTCTGTACCCGCGCTTCTTCCTTCACATGCATGACTCTGCCCTGCGCCCCCACCGTGACGACGCCGAGGGCCTCCATCGCCGGGGCCACCTTGTCCCCCAGCCCCTGCCTGTCTGCCTCCGCCCGCAGCGCCGCCTCCTCCGCGCGCCCGCGAACAACGAGCTGGATCTTCCGCGGGTTTTCGCAAAGTCCCGCTCGCGCGCTCCAGCGGTGCCAGATGGCCACCCGTCCCACCACCTCCACGGCGGTCGTCGCGGACCACGTCCTGTCGTCCATATAGATGGTGGACCTCGGTGTCCGGTCTGCCCGCCTCCCTGGTGCTCTTTTCCCCGGTCGTCTAGGCCTGGCGGCCTGCGAGCGCCCCTCGCCCGCTGCTGCCTCCTCCTGCCTCGGTTCCTCGGCCTCCTCCGCTTGGGCGTCCGCCGGGCCCTCTGTGCCCGGTGCTGCCCCATGTCTCCTCCGCCTGCGCCTCGTCGCAGTGCTCCTCCTCCGCCTCCGCCGCTGCTGCTGCTGCTGCCGCCGCTGCTGCTGCTGCTGCTGCTGCTGCTGCTGCTGCGGCTGCTGCTGCTGCTGCAGCTGTTGCTGCTGCTGCCTCCTCTGCCTGTCGTGGTTCGGGCGTCGGCCCTCCTCCCGCCGGTGCTCCAGCGTGCTGCGTCGTCGCCTGCCTGGCCTCCCCTGCCTCCGCTGTCTCCTCAGCGTGCTCTGCCTCTGCCTCTGCCTCTCCTCTCCTCCTCCTCCTCCCCCTCTCCTCCTCCTCCTCTCCTCCTCCTCCCTCCTCCCCCTCCTCCTCCTCCTCCTCCTCCTCCTCCTCCTCCTCCTCCTCCTCCTCCTCTTCCTCCTCTTCCTCCTCGGCCTCCGCGCCTTGCGCTCTCGCCGCGGCAGCCTCCTCTTCCTGCCGCCTCACCCAGCGGGTTCCTGCGCCCATCTGGTCCGAAAGGATCCCCTTGTGGGAGGGCATCGTTTGCCACGATCCTCCTGGGCCACCCCGCTCGCCCCAGCAGTTCACAGTCACTTGGGGGCGCATGTGATCATAACACAACGAAAAATCCAGCGTGTCAGCATACCCCTGCTGGGCGAGGTTGTCCGCGATGTCCGCTGCTGCTCCCCCCGCGCCTGTGGAGCCGGCGCCACCCAGCACAGCTTCGGGGATGTTGTGTCTCCTCCATTCTGCGGCTGGGGCTGACTTGACCCATGCCGAAGCCCAGACGCGCCACCACACGCACTCCACGTTGATCGGCCGCGCGTCGCCAGCCTCCAGCCGGCCAGCCTGCACCTTGCCCGGCTTCGGGAGGTTCGCCTGCCGCGTCTCCTTCAGCACTTCTGGCACCTTCCCTGCTGTCTGCCAGCGGATGGCAATCATCCGAAACAGGTCTGCCACTGCAGCCGGCATGTAGCGGACCTCTGGCCCAGACCAGCCGTCGACGCTGGCGCTGCCCTTTGCCTGCCCCAGCGCTCGCCGCACCTCCTGCTGCGTGGGGTCGCGCCACTCCACCGCATGGGGGTCCCTCTCATACTCCGCCGCCATGAGGTCGATCGCCTCACGCCTCCGCTGCTCAGCTCCTGATGCGGCCTGCGGTGCCCACACCTCCTGCCAGTGCTGGCGAATCGCCTCTGTAGCCTCTTCCAGAGTCTCCCTTGGCGTCCCTCGCCATGTGATTGTGGGCGTCGTCGCCATTTCCTTCTGGCCGCGGAGCCACGCCGACACCCCGGGATGCCGCCGCGCATGCGGTCCCGCCATTCCTGAAGCCGTTCCTGCCGCTGGGCCTCCTCGACCGCCTGCAGGGCCGCCTCCGCCTTGTGAATGCGGTTCTCCAGCTCCCTCAGGCTGCCTGATTCATCCTTCCTCCTCTGCCTCCTGTGCCTCCGCCACTCGTTGCCTCCTAAGCCCTCCTCCTGGTCGGCCTCCTCGGTGGCCTCCGCCTCTCTCCGCTCCTTTGCCCGGCCCGCGCTGCACCCTCCGCCAGAGCTGGCGCTGCTCCTCTGTGCTGCCCCAGGCGTCGCCGACCGCGGCGCGTTGCCTGAGAGCCTCCTTCGCCCTGGCGAGCCACCTCCTCGCCTTTCTTACCTGGAAGGTGTCCTGGTTCTCCTCTCTGGAGCCTCGGAGCTGCTCCCAGCGGTGCTCCCCGCATCCTCCTTTGCCGCCCTTTGCGGCAGCGGCCTCCCG